AGAATAGAATAGAATAGAATAGAATAGAATAGAATAGAATAGAATAGAATAGAATAACAAGAGTTGGAGGGACCCTGGAGATCTTCTAGTCCAACTACCTGCTCAGGCAGGAAACCCTATCCCATTTCCGACAAATGTTTGTTTAATGGCTTCTTTAAAACTTCCAGCGTTGGAGCATTCACAACTTCTGGAGGCAAGTTGTCTCACAGCCAGTGATTCATATGATCCATTTTAGCACTCTGTTTGTATCACTTACCAATGATTACCTTTCTCTTACAAAATCTCAAGCATGTAGTATGGAAAAAGTGAGAGATGTTCTTTCCTCTCTTACCAGACAAATATTAATCACAGGCAAACAACTTTTTTATTGGCAATTACGACAAAATAGCAAATGACTTGAGAAAATTGAAATGTAGGAATGCTACTGCCATTTTGTAATCACAGATCCTCTGTTACTAATCTCAGTACTAGTTAATGCCTTATAGTTCTCTCAGTTGCTGCAGATGCCAAGTAGATGCCATACAATAAATAACTGGCTTACCATAGAATTAAATTGGTCTTTTGAATTCCTCATGAACGTTCACACAGCAACATGGAGTGGTTTCAAGGTTTCTCTATGGAAAAAAAATCTACCTAGCAACCAATAAATACAGGGGAATTTAGCAATGTAAGATTGTTTCAGGGTTTTTGAATGGAAAATCCCACCTTAGCTATCGATAAAGACAGAGGAAAAAGAATTGTTTCCCCCCCAAATTGTTACCAGATTCTTAGTTAATCCTCCATGTGGCTGCTACGTAAGAAAAGGGAAAAACAGAAATTAAGATTTCCTGCACTTGTAATATAACTTGAAATTAATGAAGGACCAAATTAGTTTTGATGAGTCATTATGGTTCCAGAATTTGATCTTGCAAAAACCCCTTTTGATACTTTTACTGAGTTCCTAGAAGCCACGCCTGGACAGAATGGGACAATTCGCGGGGTCCAACTCACCATGACCATCTCGCTGTGCCCAACTCACTGTGGCCAACTTATTACAGGACAACTCTCGTGGATAATTCCACGTGGGAGAACGTACCACTGTTTCTTCAACATTATTTCCATTGACAAAAATAGAAATAATGTAGAAATAATGTTTATTGTATTGTTATCCTGCCTGGATTGTCCCATGGTATGTTATCTCATGGTGAGCTGGCCACGGCGAGTTGGCTGTGGCAAGACAGCCATGGTAAGATGGCTGCAGTGAGTTGTCCTTGATTTCTGAGTGGAATGGGGTCTCACAATTATAGGAAAAATAGTGAAAAAACACTTTGTTAATGCACTAATATGGTTTCTTTCCTTTAACGAAGCACAGCCAATTGGAAGAGCTGCATCTGAGGGACCTTTTATGGTCTTAATAATCTGGCATTGTTACAAAGCCACAAAGTAGGTTAGTTAAAAATAAAAGCCTTGTGAATTGTAATTCCAAATGCTCTCATTTGCTTTTCTGGGAGTCAGCAAGGAGAAACTATCTAATTAGGCAAGGGCCATTTCTTTAGTAAGGCAAAGCATGAACATGTTCCACTGTCAAACTAAATGCAAAAGATGCCTCTGTTAATTTCCATCGCAGCTGCATCTGAGACATGAGAGAACTATATCACTCATATTTACCATATCAAGTGTACAACTGCTCTGGTGAAATACAAGCTGGGCCTTTAAAAAAAAGATCACTGGCAGAATAAGGTTACTCTTTCTATGTGAGAAATGTTTCACATACTTTCTAGCTTCATGCAGCCTAACCTCCTATCTATTTAAATCTCCACAATTTTCCCCTGCTTGTTATTTGCTACAAGACCATCCGAACTGGATTTTAACACAAGTAAACGTTGGGAAACCATAGACAAAGCCATGCCACCAGAAGAACACCAGTGTACCACACCTGCCAAGAGGGCCATCAAAAAAATCCGAATGACTAGCTTGGTTATCAGCTTGGCGAAAGGTTGGCAGCAGTGGGCAACTGAACACAACACCAAGCAAGCTCAGGAACCTAGTGGATGGGTACCCAATGAAGACAAATCACCAAATGACCCAAGAGAGTGGACACCTCCAAAACATTCGCCAACTTTCAAGACATATCAGTCAAAAACCGAGATACAGTTTCCCTCAGGACAGCAAGTGTCAAACAAAGATGGAGAACAAAGTCCAAGTGAATCAACAGAAGCTCTGGAGAAATGTAATATTAGAAGTAAAGAAGTTACCAAAAGTGTAATAAGGTCACTCTCTGAAAGAAGTAGTGACATTGGTCTTCTCAGCAACAAATATGAACAAGATGAATTTGCAGAGACAGGAAAGATCATCAATGACCCTACAAATATTGATCAAATCCTTAGTAATAAAATGTCTCCCACAAGAAGGAGAAAGTGCTCCAATCTGGTATCAGAGATGACAAAGGGATGGAAACGTTTGGAACAAGAAGAACTACAGGACTGTCGCAGCAACAGCTTGGATACAGAAGATAGTGGCTATGGTGAAGACACAGAGGATGGATTAGACAGGGATCATAATATCCAAGAAATACAGAGTGTTGTGAGGATAAAACATCCCATGGCCTCACAGTAAGTAATTACTGTATTCTCCAAAATTGTCTTGTTATAAGAAAATGCTTCTGTGTAGCACATTAGTGCTTTCTGAAGTCAGTACAACCAGAGCAGTACTCCAATTTCCGTTGCTGAGACAGTTAAGTGAATTTTATTCCATTTTATGATGTCTCTTGTCACATTTGTTATGTGAATCACTGCAGCTGTTAGGTTGTAAACAGTTGTAAAGTGAACCTATCTTCCCCATTGACTTTGCTTGTCAGAAACTCGCAAAAAGAGATCACTTGAGTCCAGGTCACTCCAACCATTTTAAATAGGAGCCAGTTGCCAAACATCTGAATTTTGATCATGGGAGCATGGGGATATTGCAATGGTCGTAACTGTGAAAAACAATCATAAGTTACTTTTTTTCAGTGCCATTGTAACTTCTAACGGTCACTAAATGAATGGTTGTAAGTTGAGGATTTCCTGTATCAGTATGTGATCTTCAGATTCAGTGCCACCTCAGTCATATTTTGGAACACTAATGGAGGAAGTGATTGGAGGGGCTCTAAATGATGAGCCGACATGTATAAATAGGCCACGGAAGGGATGATGAGCTGTTTCTCCACAGCAGCAGCATTCAATTATCTCCAAGTAGCCATTTTCATCTGAAGTCGAACTGAAAACGTAGGAGCAGAAAGCGAAAATGGAAACATACAGGAAAACGTGGCAAACTTTAAATATGAAAAATGCCTTATATTTTTCAAAACATTCAACAATCTAAAAGTTGCTTGTATTAATATTTAATTAGATCTATTTTTTTTTAAAAAAGAAAAACTGAGGAAGTTATATTTGGAATAGGATAGTTTCTGCAAAGAGACCATTTCATCCTTGTTTTAGAATGATGGCAGAAGAAAATGTTAGGTCCTTAAGGTAACATTCATTTTAGAGCTTCCGGCTGTTTTTATTTGCTAGCCCAAGTTTCCCAATGTGTATTGGTTTTTGACATATCTGCAGGGCAGAAGGCTAAGGGCTGGGACAGCCATACGGAGTCAAGGAACATATGGGCCAAGCAATCCTTCAACTGTTTAGTCCAATCAACTGTTGTTCATGTACAGGCAGTCCTTGACTTATATCCATTTGTTGAGTGAACGTTTGCAGTTATAACGGAAAACTGAAAAAAGTGATGTACAACTGATTCTCACATTTATGACAGCTACAACATCCAGTCATGTGTCTAAAATTGGACCAGTTGGAAACCAACATGTGCGCAGCATGCCTGGGTCATGTGCTTGCAATTTCTGTGCTTCACAGTGAACTTCCGCCAAGCGAGAGTCAATGGAAGAAGTTCAATTTGCTTAATGACTGCATGATTCACTTAACAACTGCAGCGATTTTGGTGCAGCGGTCACCACACTATAAAAAAGATGTTGAAACTCTAGAAAAAGTGCAGAGAAGAGCAACCAGGACAATTAGGGGACTGGAGACTAAAACATATGAAGAACGGTTACAGGAACTGGGCTAGTCTAGTGAAGAGAAGGAGCAGGAGAGATATGATAGCAGTCTTCCAATATTTGAGGGGCTGTCACAGAGAGGAAGGAATCAAACTATTTTCTAAAGCACCTGTAGGTCAGACAAGGAATAATAGATGGAAACTGAACAAGGAGAGATTCAACCTGGAAATAAGGAGAAACTTTCTGACAGTGAGAACAATCAACCAATGGAACAGCTTGCCCTCAGAAGTTGTGGGAGCGTCATCACTTGAGACTTTCAAGAAGAGATTGGACTGCCATTTGTCGGAAATGGTGTAGGGTCTCCCGCTTGGGCAGGAGGTTGGACTAGATGACATACAAGGTCCCTTCCAACTCTGATTATCTGTTAAATCTGTTTATTTGCTTAAGTTTGGTTTAAAAAAAAGGTTGCAAAATCGGCCCCAACTCACTTAACTACTGCCCTACTTAGGAACAAAATTCTGGTTCCAATTGTGGACATAAGTTGAGGGGTGCCTTTATCAAAAAGAGAAATTCCATGTCATCAACTTATTCATGCCACAATATTCCTGACTTTTCGTGTTTGACTAAAAGAGTAACCCAATTTATTTTCTTGCACAGCTTACCAGCCTGGTGTACATGTGTATAATTGCATCCTATATGGTCATTCCTATGTGTTAAAAATGGTGCAGAACTATCAGAGCAATCAATGGTTTTCACACATCACTAGGGCATCATGTCAATAACCATGGCCAATCTGCTCACTCATTTAATCTAATCTAGCAAATCTAGAGAACTATCAGGTGATGGTCAATCAAAAAAGCTTGAGGAATGTGAGGGTCTTATATATGTTAACTGGTGTTATATATGTTAACTAGTAAATAAGGAGAAAAATTATACCAAGACAAAGGCAATATTCTCCTGAGTTTGAGAGCAGTTTCTTTGAGAGCCCTGCCAGTTGAAAGTTCCCCCAAAGTCCAATGGCTTCATTGACAGTTCACAAATATTTCTAAACAGATGAGCATATATCAGTGCTAGCAAAGGTTCATTCAAGGCAACATTAAACTGGTCCAGGTTAGCATGAGTTACTCACTAAAAATAAAATGCAACAGTTGCAATGATGTAAGTAATCATTAGTCAGATCATATAAACCTTTCTAACCTTTTAATGAGGTCAAACCTTACTGGGGCTCTCCAGAAAACAAGTACATACATACATGTATATTTTTATATATGTCGATATATATATATTGTTTGTCCACAGTTAATGAATTTATCTTATGCTATTTTTATGATGTATTTGTCATTTGTCTTTTCTTGAACATAGTTCTTGTAAACCCACCTTTGAAATATTTTCCTCTGGAGATCCAAGTAGAAAAAGGGTGTCACGTTGCCATCACATGATGTTTCATGGTTTTTTCCCTTCACAGAGCTGGGGTGGGCGTGGCCTGCATGTGACGCATCTGGCCTGCAGGCCGCCAGTTTGACACCCCTGAAATAGAAGTATGAGGGGGGAAAATAGCCTACACTCTGAACTTTAAGTGGCTGAGTTTGAAGACCTGTTTTGAGCCATTTTCTTACTGCTTTAAAACTGTTTTCTGCATAGACTTGTTTTGAAATAGTTGAATTCAAAAATAATATTTCAGTTATTAAACCTCCATAAAAGCTGTCTTTCATCTACCTATTCTCAGACTATCTATTGTAAGCATCTAGGAAGTAGTTCTGCAGAAAGCAGGTGAATTAGCATATGAACTGTAACTTAAGTTTGTTTATTGAGTACCACTAATTTTCTGACTCTCACTGGTCACCTTCTGTGGGTTGAACTATATTTAACCTGTAATTCTTGGAGTTACTTCCAAGTGGTTGGAAATGGCTTTGAGTTGCTTGGAAAGAAATTAGGGGTATTCATTTCTTCCTCCCCAGCTGTCTATGCCTGCTGGTCACTCCACTGCATTTGCTGCCCACCCAAAACAAACAGAAATATAATCTTTTCAGCTTTGAATGAAAGTGCTAATAACAAAGAACTTCTTTATTCTTGGATTGCTTGAGTATTGTTGTGGTTGTTTTTAATTTCTCTTGGTGTTTTTGAGCTTACTGTATAGTTGAAGGTGGTGGTGATGTCAGAGCTTGTGTGGTCTTCCAGTACACATTTCCATTGATCAAAAGTCCCCCCCACCCTTGCCCAGATAGAAAAAGACCATTGAAACTAGTATTTCTGTTGTTTGCCTGACATATTTAAAACATTTAAAATCACCCATGTCTGTAGGACCCATCTGCACCCACCCTGCCTCTTTTTTCCATGCAACCCCCATATGATACACATTTTTAAAAAGTGGGTGGGGGGAGGGAGGCTTCAGTCAACCAGATTTTGACATTTGTAATAGATTGCTTGTTTTAATTTAATCAAGATTTAATTGAAGCATAGGAGCCAGGAAATTCAGACATCAGGCAGAGAATCAGTCGCGAATGGTAGGGCATTCTAAATATCCACTCACTATCCCACAATTAAATATCAGAAATCTACATTCCTCCCAGGAAAATTTCACAGGAGTCATTTTCTCCATTTAAAAAAACCTCCAAAAGCATATTCTGGATGGAGAAAGTTACTATGCATACACACACACAACAAAACAAAAACACTAACTACATGCTATAGTATATCTGAATCTTTCTATTCAAATCAAATGGTTGTGGTTTCAGATAAGGCAAGAATTATAACAGTAAAGAATTGTTCTGGATAACAGAGTAGTGCTAATTTAGCCCACTATAAAGGCAACTAAAATGGAAAGCAGATGATAGTGTTTCGTTTGAATGGATTCAAGTACTAATTGAAATTTGTTTTCTTTCTTTCTTTCTTTCTTTCTTTCTTTCTTTCTTTCTTTCTTTCTTTCTTTCTTTCTTTCTTTCTTCTTTCTTTCTTTTTCTTTCTTTTCTTTCCCTTTCTTTCTCCTTCCTTCCTTTCCCTTTCTTTCTTCCCTTCTTTTTCTTTCTCCTTCCATCTTTTTTTTCTTCCTTCCTTCCTTTCCCTCCCTTTCTTTTTTTCTTCCTTCCTCTTCCTTTTTCCTTCCTTCCTTCCTTCCTTCCTTCCTTCCTTCCTTCCTTCCTTCCTTCCTTTCCTTCCTTTTCTTTCTCCTTCTTTTTTTCCCCTTCCTTCTTTCTCTCTCTCTTTCCTTTTCTACCTTTCTCACTGATACAATAACTAAGAGCATAAAGGGATAAAAGATATGTCAGGGAGACTCAGCTCTACCCCACCCAAACCTGTGCTCTTCATCTCCGACTATGCCATATTGATGGGGAAACAAACTTGGCTATGTTCAGAGAGATCAATATTTCTGTACCTGCACCAGGAGGCAAGAAGTAATTTCAATGCTTTGGAAGCAGATTTCTCAAAGTTTCCAGAACAAAAGACATTTGTTTGCATGCCAAACTATCTAAAAGGGCTGATAAATTCACTTGTGATTTTTAGTGAGTGGACAGCTGTCCTGGTTATTCATTCAATATATATTTAAAGTGTGTTGTTATTCTTGAAGATATAAGGAAGAAGTATAGGAACGACTAGTGTCCTGAACTGGGCTTATAAGTAAATTCCTGGTTAATTGTATTCTTTTGGAATTTGTTTGACAATTAGTTTCCAGGTAGGGTGGTGGGCACCAGCAAGATAAGGATATGGATCACTGTTTGCTTAAAGCTAATATTTTGTCCCCAATATTTGATCTGTCAACTCAAGAAGCATTCCTGACCTATCAAAACCCTGACATGATCCCACAAAACTTCATGGACAAATGGAAGACAAGAAGGTGCAACAGCAATACATTCCAGTTTGCTGTTAAGTTTGGGGATGCCAACAGACAAGAAACAGCTTAGGCAGAGAATTCTGGATAAGATCAAGTATAGAAGAACCCTAATTTAGTTAATCAGCTGAATAACTAAGCTACATGTGATTAGCCGCTTATACCGAAATATCATAGAACCTTCATACTACCCAACCATCCTAAGAAGTACATTCTGCAAAAGTAATAGATCGAGAATACGGTAGTATAAGTAGTCCATAAACACAACTACTGTTCACTTCTAATGAGAATCAGAGGATGGGAATCAAGAGAAGTAGGGGTTTCTTCTCTTGGCTAGAGGCTCTCTGAGAAGTAAGTTTCTTAAGACACAGACTGTGTTGAATAAGATCTAAGAATTCAAGTTTAATGCCCCTCCCCCCAAAATCTAAGAGTAAACAACAACAAAAGTATTGGCAGACATATGCAAGACTTTTTTTTCAGTGCTGCTTTGCTTACGAGCAAAGATTCATTTTTAGCCCCATGTTTGTTCGGGTTTTGGTTTCTGCTCCTGTAGCAGTGAACTCTTTAAAATTAATATAACTTTTAAAGCACACACATCTTTTTTTTAGGCACATGCTGAAGTCTAAAAAAAAACCCTAATAGTTTGCTTTCATAAATAGCAATGTAAGCTCTAAGCCAATTTGTTTCCAATTATTTTAAGGAATTCATGATACTAATATCTCTTGTAGTTTGCCACCAGAAATTTTAGTTTGCCACCTTCTTTGAAGACTTCCAACAGGATAGTCAGAGAAGTGAAGGGACTCTATGCAAACCCAAGCATTTTTAGGGAAAGACTTTGAAGGAGCTGTGCTACGCTTTCCAAAAGAGGTGTTTTAATGCTTAAAAGAGCTCTTTCTCCTTCTAGATGCCATAGCTCAAAAAGAATATAGTGGAATTAGAGAAGATCTGGAGGAAGACAATTAAGATGATCAAAGTCTGGAACAGTTTCCATATGAGAAATATGACATTTGGGCCTTTTAAAAAAAAACCCGCACGATATAAAATTATGCATAGAGTGAATAAGGTGGACAAAAAGAAACTGAGGTCACCCAATGAAATTGAATCCTGGAAGAATCAGGAAAAATAAAAGGATTTTTATATAAAATTAAAAGGGGTAAATTAGAATTCACTACCATGAAATGTGGTGATGGCTACCAGCATGTCTTCAAAAAAGAATTGACCAGTTTATGGAGGTTATGGGAATCAATTCCTACCTAATGGCTGTGGAACTCCTTGTGAAGGCATCTGCTGCGAGACTAGTGGGCTTCCTTGTGCATTTGGTTGGCCACTGTGAGAACAGCCTGCTGGACTAGATTTCCTTCAGTTCTTTCAGCAAATCATGCCATGCAGATGTAATTAATGAGAGTGGTGTTATTTTTTCCCTTATATACATTAAAATTAATGTGTCTAATCCAAAATAGCAGCTTTTATTTTCAGGTAAGACGCAGCAAAGGAAAAAAAGTGATTTAGAATTAGTGATAACATGCCACCTAGTGGTTTGTGGTCTAAATCAGATTAATGAACTCCACCAAAACATTTCACGAAAGCCTCGTCTTATTCAGCAGCTATCTTTTTTCTTTTTCTGTAGCAAAAATAAAAATCTCAAGTTGCCGAAGAATTACAGTCCTGTCTACAATCTAAAGGGGCGATGGGAAGAATGGGCTGATGAACATGTGACTGTACAGAAACTCAACCCTTTCAGCGAGGAGTTTGACTATGAGCTCGCTATGGCCACCCGTCTGCGTAAAGGAGATGAGGGCTATGGCCATCCTAAAGAAGGCACAAAGACAGCAGAACGGGCCAAGAGAGCAGAGGGCCACATCCACCGGGAGATGAGAGACATGTGTTTCATCATCAGAACAATGGCTCAGTTACGACATGATGGCAAGATCCAAGTCACTTTTGGAGATCTCTTTGACAGATACGTTCACATTTCAGATAAAGTGGTTGGAATACTCTTGAGGGCCAGAAAACATGGAATGCTAGACTTTGAGGGAGAAATGTTGTGGCAAGGCCGGGATGATGCCGTTCTAATAACTTTGTTAGAATAAGGTCTTTTTTTCTTCATAGGATAAGCCAAAGGACATCCTTATACTTGGAATGTTTTATCAAAAGGTTTATCAGAAAGATCGATAGACGTCAAAGCTTTCATCAGTACTCAGAACTTATCTATTAATATTTAACAATAGCATCTCCATATTATTCCACCTCTATGTTACTGTTTATTAAATAGTTTGTTTTGCCAGTACCAGTAGTATCTGATTTAACTATGTTTGTTAAGATTTCTACAGTATATAAAGAATGAAAATGATATAGAAGATGGCCCACCTTATGGATCAGATGTTTATTAGACACTTGGGCATTTTTCAGAGATCTGGTTAGCACTGGGAGCATGAGGCAATCCAGACTGTTGATGTTGTTGCTCCCTCTTTTAAGTTAATCAATCCCAATTCACTTTTTGTTTATAGAGGACCTCCAGCAGATAAAATGACAGATAAAATGTTTAAAGGACCCATGGAGAAATATAAAAAGAATGAACGCAACCCAATCACCAATAGACAAGTCCAAGTTCAGCCCTACTTTGCCTCCCAGGAAAAATGAGGAAATTTTCATACTTTTCCTATTTTGCACTGATGGATTGTTAAGTCAGTGGCCTTGTTTAGGGTAGTGAATTCCTTTTGGGGAAATTTGTGAAATTAACAAACTCCACAGTTCTTGTGACCATTTTGGATAGCACCTTGCCAACTGTTGCTTAGATACTGCCAGCCTTACATTAAAGGCTACATTAAGTGATTTTATTTAATGTTAGACCCCCAACATTTCAGCAATTTATTTTGACAATATAAGCTCATTAATTCTGCTTTAAAATGCAGTGAGGTTCATGGACATGTAATGCTACAACAATACTTTATAATAAATCTGCCATTACTTAAAAGATGTGCAAAATAGCTTTCAGATAGGGAGATAGCAATCTTTTTGAGTTAGTGGGGACAATGGATGATTTCCAAACTTCATGTGGGTGTTCAGAGATTCTCAAAATGGCTGCCATGGGAATATACCTACATATAAATAATCAATTTACCACATTTCTTACCATCTTTAGCACCTGCTCAAACAGAATATATATTACCTCTTTAATGATCAGCACTTTTTTTCTGAACAAGATACTGAGTTACAATTGTTTGTCATTTTTATCTACTAAGATAGCTTAATTATCATGATGCTGGAAGATACCATTTTGCATTACAATATGCCTTCTCTTTTTAAAAAAATAATTGAAAAATGTAAAACGCTACTAGTTGAATGAAACAGAACCTGGCAGATATTAAACCGAGTATCCTTGGGAGCCAACTGGGCCCCCCAGTGTTAGATGAACCACATTGCTTTCTTAATGCTATCAGCTGTTGAAAAGAATTACATTTTGATATGGTATGTTGTCTTTCAAAGTGAAAGATCCTGCATCTTCTTACAGAAGAAAAATATATGATTTTGTGTCAAGATGATGGTAAATTTATTCTAAAAATTGATATGGAGATATCAGTATATGTGCATGCATGTATATATAGCTTTTGAATGTGTTTTCAGTCAAGTATCAAAAATATGATTCTTTCAAGAAATCATGTGCAAAAATCTTAAGTGCTGTGAAATATTAATAGCATTATAAAGGAAGTTTGTTATAAGCAAATAACATTTTACATTTAATCAATGAAGTTTCCTGCATCCATAGACTGAGAATAAAAGCTTGATTTACCTTACCAATTAGATAAAATAATTAAGTTTGAAAAAATGTAATTTAAAGAAATGTTGCTTTCCCAGGACAAGGATATTATTTTCAGGTTTTTATGTCTGCTAATTATTTTTCAAGATTATGAAAGTTTACTGAGCAGTTTATACCATTGATTAGTTTAAATTAAGCTGTAGATACTAAATGTTTCTGTCAAATATAGGAATGTGATTCATTTCAAAATCTTATTTATATTAACAAGAAGTGAAATGCACTGCAAATTCAGTTGATACAATGGGATGAATGAAAAAGAATTAAATAAATTTAATGACTTTTTTGAGATGGAAAAGATTGGGGTTTTTTTTAATGCCAGGGCAATAACCTATTATTTCTTCTGAATATTTCCTGAGGCTTAAGGATTGTAATTCTATTTTATAGCTTTGATTTTTCTTATTGGAAGGAAGGCGATATGGATAAAGTTGGGACAAAAATTACGGGCTGCCTTCCCTGACAAATGGCAGTCTGTATTGTATATTGAAATTTTTATATAGCTGTAATGAACATTTTAACAGCAACTCCCACACCATATGTCAAAGTGTATTACCAATTAATAAACAGTTCTGTAACAATATTTAAAAAACACCCAATTCCTTATCAGAAATTTTTAGCAGGATCATAGAATGGAATCTGCTTCAACACCACAAGTATTTTGGCTATGATTCAATACTTTCAACCTGAGTGTTAATTACAAAATGGCTGTGTGTCTAAATAAAGCCCAACTCAAGTTTAATTACATGAATTTATATTTATTTGCTTTATATCACTATTATCTTATAGTATTTTAAATCCATCACAGGATTGTTTAGTTAGTGAACCCACAAAGACAATAATACTGCCGTGGAAGACCAAAGGGGGGGAAAAGCTATTTTAATTTATTTACATTTCCTTTTGTCTGTAAACATTGAATCTACATATACTCTACTAATAGGAGGAAAGAGCTATACATTGAGACAGAAAACAATGCTGTGTATTTTTTTTTAGCAATATAAAGCATGAGCATATTATAAGATAAAATATTCTCTTTTCCATTACCACAGCATTAAGCATTCCCCAGATAATTCTGAAACAACTTATATTAGTAACATTCTATACAACTATAGCTAATTGTTTGAGCTAAGCCATTTGGCTTTTTATTCCATTGCTAGAATAATTTAAAGTGCTAGAAGCAACCCGTCAATCAATACTTTCCCTCCCTCTAAAATAACAAAAACTACTTTTAAACATTAATGTACAAGTTAATATATACAATATTCATTTGAAATAGCTGAGATTTCAGCACAAAGTCATTCACTGTCACAGTTAACAGCATTTTTAAATTATTTTTCTTTTGCATAAACATAGAATATAAGCTTTGAAACAACTGTTGTTATTGCCACAATGGCTTTTTAGTTTTTCTACAAAAGTGGACAAGAGCTACTGATTTACTATAATTTTTCTTTTTTTTCTTTTTTTTTTCTTTTTGCTTTGAGGTCACAGAACAGTAAATTTTGCATATTAACACATCTACTGAGTTATGATGTCTATCGAGAGTACGTTACCCCATTGCATCAGAGCTGGTGCAAACTGCAGTTTTACAACACAGATCCACTCAAAAGAAGAGAAAAACACCACACCTATTTTGTTTTCTGTTTTGAATAGGAGCAATTCTTGGAGATGATGTGCTACAAGGCTACAACAGAAGAACTATAAAACAGAGTGGTGTATTATGTATGTGTGTGCATATGTACATACACACACATACATACATTTGATGCATATTATATGCTGTTCGGAAAAAATGCGTCTGCTTCATAGCTTTAGCAATAAGAAGGTATTATATGTACTATGAATTACTCACTGCATTATGCTTACTTTTCCATTTCCTCATTGCTGTTTTTATATATCTTGATCATGTAGCTGAATCCTTGCCCAACATTTGTCCCAAGCCTGCAGATCCTTTAATGGCATGTGCAAAACGCTTCGGTACAATCAATAGGGCAGCTATGTTTCAACAGTAAATTACAACAGATACCAAGTCATGACATGACTAAAGATGTGGTGATATTTGAATGAAATAAACAGCCAAGACTGATCATTTTTGGTAAATTATAAACTTCTATCTCTTCACCATATTATTTAGACCAAGTACATATAGTATAACTCAATTAGATTTTATGTTGTTTGTTGTTTCGGTGAAATAGTTAAACAGAAGTAAAGAAAATTTCTGGATTGTGAGAATGACAACAAACAAATGGATATGTGAATGACATGATGATAAAAATCTGGCTCTCATAAAGAAATAATCAATTACAATTTGAAAGCTTTGTAACTTTCAAAAATGAAAATACAATCTGAACAGTCAGTTGCACTCCAATATGCTGATGTGAAAGACATGTTGATGGTCATGCAGAAAATGTAGAAAGGCATTGCAAAACAAGCTACATTATATTGCTTTAAGGGCTTTCTGAGCTGCATTGATCAGTATCAGGTTTGGGACAAACTTTTGTAGTATTTTACACTTTATACTTATTCAAAGCCCCAAATTTCAATATCTTGTATAATGAAGTCTTCTTTCTTAGAAAGTGTGCGATTCCCAAAGGTTTTACAAGAGTGACTTCTTCCATGATAGAGATCGCCATCAAGCCATAAAGCAAATTCACCCCTGCAGTGTGACGAGAATTGGTTTGCAAAATATTAAAAATAATTTTCTTCCCATTACTGTATTCAAATGTAGGTCAAATTTTAAATTAATAAAGTTCTCTTCAAAATTCTTTCCCTAATTTGAAAGCTTCAGACTGCATTTCAATTAATTGGTCAAGGTAGAAACAGTGATCACCTTTAAGAATTTTGTTAGAAGTTGAGATAAAATGGCAACGAGGGGATAAACAAAGCCCTAACTCTTTCTAGGCATCTAGGGTCATCTGGACTTGTTCAGCCTAGATCTAGCAGTCTCATATTAGCATAGCATCAGCATTGTACAAATGCAAACTGGGTCTGCCATGGAAATGTTACAATAAATGAATAAAATCAAGAATTTTATCTTCTTTGTGGTAACACATTTAAGCCATGAGCTTGCAGACTGAACAGAAATTGGGCCAAGAAAAGTATATTTCGGCTTTGCATTAAAAACTGGGTTCTAACCCATAAAAGAAATTTCTTCTACCTTTGCTAATGCCCACTGATAACAAAATAAGACAGACTAAACCGAATAAGAGGCAGTCTGTACTAATGGTGACAGTGATGACTTAGAAAGTAGGAGAAAATGAGTTCTAGTCCTCCCTTAGGCATGAAAGCGGGCTGGGTGACTTTGGGCCAATCCCCTCTCTCAGCTCAACTTACCTACAGGTTTTTCTTGGAATAAATAGGAGAGGGAAGGAATATTGGTATGTTCACTGCCTTAAGTTATTTCTAAAAATAATAAAACTGGGATATAAATAAATATTTTTTTAAAAAAGAAAAATGGCCTTTCAGATTTGTTCAAGGAAAAAAAAATGCCAACATTGGCAGGAGGCTGCCATAAAGCAAACACTGACATGGAGATATTTGGAATCTATATATAAGGAAATCAAAGAGTATAACATCACACCAATGTTGCATCAGACCTTTATCAGACTGAACAAAATCGATAAAGAACTACTAACCCTCCACCACCAAAAGCCAAGGCATCCATATCTCCTTTAAGAAAAAACATATTGTCTCCAGTCCACTTGAAGACCTAAGAATTAGGAAAATAAATGAAGACACACAAACACAGATGAAAGGAAATTATTGCTAAAAGAACAACAACAAATATCATAAGACATCATTATCAATTTCTGCTTCAGAAAAATCCAGAAACTTTATTTGTTAAAACACTACAATAAAGAATAAAGAATGCCCTTATTCACTGTAATAGCCAACTATCACAGTGATTAACACATTATTTCAATATATTGAAATTCCACCTATCATCTGCATTTCTATTCCTTCCCCCATAAATTCAGTGAATCATGAAGTAATCCTAATTCCCCTTTAGTAATTTATAGAAACTCTGATGTTCTGATAAAAGCAGGATTTATTACCATTTACCACTAATTGTTTCGTAGTGTTCATCATCATTCTTTATTAGTTTCATGGCTGTGTATGGATGTGTGTGTTTGTTTGTAATAGCTTTATGACTGGAAAATTAACTCATGGGAAATGTAAGGTAACCCTTCATCACAACCTCAATCTAAATTCTAAACAACAGGCCTCACTATTCAAAATATAATTCTTTAATTGGAATTTAAATAATTTCATTGCAACATAAAATGGTTAGACTCATAAATAATGTAATCTTACATATATTATCTAAATAATTTAAGTATTTTTTTTTAAGTGCTTACCTCAAATTCTGGGCAGAATGTAAAAAGAAAGGTTTCTCCCGTGCCGTAAAACCCATCACTCACTTTAAAAGGTTCAGAAGCGAGAGCTCCAAAAATCTAAAGAAAAGAATAAAAATAGTCCAGAAAGCATGACATTTCCACTGCTTGTTTGCATAATACATAGGAAACCTATCCCATGAATGTGATTAATTGGAATTCTCAGGAATTAATTCTATTCATACCATGAAGTTCAAAGCACAAGCAACCATCAAGTTGAACTAAGCCATAACTTCAGTAAGGTATTTTATGGAATATTTTTGCAGATGAAAAAGATCTACTCAAATATGAAAAGGCTTCCAGATGGCAGTTAATTCAGCAAACATAAGAGCAGAACACTCCTTTAAGAAGAGGTAACTCTTAGCACAAACATTTGGCTGCCATCTCTAGTGTTTGCCCTGTTCTTGCCAAATCAGCTTTCCAATGTTCTTGGGGCGAATGTGTCAGGTAGGAAAGTCAGGCCTAGTGTATTTAGATAGAAATCAAAACAGGATTAGCGGTCTGATTACACTTGTTTTCTCAACAGGTTATCAGATAGAGATTAGTCCAGTTTGGCCGGCCCTAGCTGATTCAGTATGCCTTTCACTTATTTAAGGAAAAAGCTGGGGGGGAAAGGAATGTAGGAATATTGCCAGCTATTGTTTGTCTCATGTGAACACTGACTTTCCACCCCTCCCACTCTCCCTTTTCATTCAATGCAATGGAAACCATGCACTTCCTTTTTGCTTTTGAGTTTTAGGGTAAATGCTCAATTACTAAAGTAATAAAATGGTAATAAGGATGAAGAGTTTTAAAAAATGAATGAGGGGACTGTTCGTAAAAGATTTGTTCTAAAAGAGATTGAGTAATAGTGTGACTTGATTAGTGACGGTGAAGAGAATTTGACTAAGATATTTAGTGTCAAGTTCAACCTTCTGCTTACTGCATAATTCCAACTAGAAACACCAGGTGACTGAGCAGCATTTTGTGTAAATAGAGCAAACAGATGTGCGTTTGTGTGTGCACATGCACAAGCATATGAATACATAGCTTCAAATCGGTCTTGCCTTCTGGTCCCTGCCTTGCAGTTTTCTTGACAAGGATTCAGAAAAGGTTACCCACTATTTTCTTCCTGGGACTGAGAGGCTCAAAGTAATTCAGCTGGCTTGATGCCTAAGGCAGGACTAGCACTCACAGATTTCTGGTTTCTAGCCTGGCGACTTTAATCATTACATCATTATGGCTCTCACATCCAACAAACAGAAGCTGCATCACTGATTAACTGTTGCTAATTTCTAGCAGACAGCAACAATTCACTTTCCTGTAACTCCTGCTTTGCATTCTGGACTGACATGGAACTGATTTTGGCTTTCTCTATGAAGTTCCTTTCAGGTTTTGTATACATCCCTCTTTCCCAAAATCTTGCTAACCATCCCAAGATAGAAATGAGGATGGCTCTCCTTTGAGAAAAGATTGGAAATCTAATATTCTTCCATAAGCTTTCCTCTAAAATAAGTACCAATATTTGTCCCCTACCCTACTTTTTAGGCATTCATTGAGCTCCGAAACTGGAAGATTCTATGTGGATGATGGAAAACAAAAATGTTTCTATTTGCGTGAGTTAAATTATCTTAAACTGTCCCATTCTGCATTGGGTTCAGGCTTTCCAAACACATACACACACTTATGAAGTTAAGCTGTAGCAGCAAAACAGCTTAAATAATTCTCTAAATGACAAACAATACAGTTTGTCTAATTTGCCCTTCCTGAAAACTTGATTTATATCAACCCACTCTGTCTCTAATATTTAAATATTACTATGGAAGTGTAAAATATATCCAGGCCTTCAAAAATTATCTATATACTTATTGTAAAAGGAACAAATCCCTTGATACTTTTGAAGATTAACACATTTGTGGTGAAAGACTGATTTGATCCCCCCCCCACTTTAAAAATAGTAACACTTCCATATTTTTGCGATCAAGTATTCAGTTAAATCTACTGCACTGCAGTGAGGTTACTTTGTTTTCCAAGTACCAACAGGAAGGGCAGTAGAAAACCACTTTGGTATTATTGCCAGGAATGCTATATATGGCAACAGCTACAGAGTCACCAGGGCTTGAATTCAGCTTGAAGGAATGCTCATTTAAAATGCTATGGGTGTTTTGGAGTATGTTTATGATCAGCCTGTTTATACTAAGTTTTCCTTTTGGGAAAAATCAAAATAATATTGAGCTTTCCTGTATGTTAGAAAAGTTGTCTTAAAATTTAAGATTTGTTATGGGGAGCAAAGGTAAGAAAAAGTGATCATTGCAATTTCCGTACCTGTCCATCACTGTCTTTGATAACCAGCAGCACTGGTGTGTCTAATCCTGCCATAGTTCTGTACAAAGTCTTCAAGCTCATGCCATGCTTTGCAGTACTGTAGACAAGAGTCCATGGATAGCCAATAGTTCGAGGAGGGAGCTGTTTCGTCAACTAAAGAAACACAGGTGCAAGTGAGGCATGCGCACTGAACAAAGTGATTAACCTAGAAGGGTTTTAATTCACGGGTACAAAACATGTTGTGTTAAACATCAAAAAATCCAAAAGTTAATATTTATACTAAATCTTATAAATGCCTGATGATTTATAGAAACATTTTCAATCCTTACGCTACACAGAATTGTATAGAAATATGAAATATTTCTATATTAAGTAATTTAACTAGATTTAAGTTCTATTGAAATTATCTGGGTTTTATTTCCAAGTAAATGCTTTTAAGAGAAGAGTGTTAGGTCTTGTTTTTTGCCCTTTGTGGTTATTGAGGTTGAACCTAGCCTGTTCAAATTACACTGCTTCAGGAACTGAAACTGTATTGCTGAATATCTTACATATATTTTGATAAAACAAGGCAACAACTTGGATGAGAGGAAAATCAGAACTTTCTAACAGAATTTTATTTATCAAATTTATTTGCTGCCTATCTCACAGATAAGCCCCTATATATTTTTCCTGGAAACAAGGCAGCAGGCTAGGCGCTCAAAGTCTTGTGTTCTCTGTGGAAGGATCTCCCATGAACAAGCTGGATATCTCCAGTGCTATTAATGATTAAGAAAAGCACAAATACTTGGCTTTTCAAGGAATAATTGGAGATTGAGTAATACCAGGTACAAGGTCAGTTTTATCTCTGTTTAAATTATTATGCTTTTTATTGTATTATTTTAGGGCTCTTCATGTATATAAAATGCTTTAAGTTGTTTCAAGGTGGGCTTACAAACAAAAGCAGAAAATAAATTATTGAAATCCACAGGAATTATATTTTCCACCGTTGCTTCATATTTTCCAAGTCCTAGAAGCCTATTGGGTATAAGTTGTGACCATTGTTCAAAGAGGAATACATAAGGACTAATAAGCCTTATTCTTTTTTTCCCTCATCAAGAAAACAGTTACTGAGAAAAAACCCTGAAGACAAATAAAAATGGATTATCCTAGGATTTGCAAATGACTCTAACAGACAATTAAAGTTGTAATTTAGATAATCTCCTCATGATTACAACTAACAGATCTAGCTTTATGAAATTGAATTCAGAACTGTTTCATTTAGAACCTTGTTTTCTTTATCCAAGCAACATTTCTATTTATTCCAGACAGAAAAAAGTACATTTTAAACAGATCGATTCAGATTTTGGTGTTATGTTTTAACATAAAAGAAACAATTGTAACAGCCAAGTTAGGTTTCCTTCCTTACATATAATAATGATATACAGAAAGTTTTCAATCTGCAATGTTTTTGATTATAAATGTGATTTTGAGTGTGAAATGCTTTGTTTCAACTTTGAAACAGCTGTTTCATCCTTGCTAGAATATTACAACATTGTTTTGATGTCTTTGGAAATGTTCAAGTTTTGAGTTCAAAACAGACTCTTTCAATCTTAAAACACCTGTTTTGAATTTGAAACAAGACTATTTTGAGTTCATAATGCTTCTGGAATGGTTGGATGGAATTAGGATACTTCTACTAAGGTTAGAACAATCTACTTTGAATTATTTGTTTTTGATTTGGCCTAAAATGTAATGATTCAAACTTGAAATGTTTAAGATTAAAACCTGTTTCAGATCTCTTAACTTAAAATAAGTATTGAACAGCCAAAGTGAAATGTTAGATCAAATAACTTTTTCCTAATTTTTAAGGTCATGCTTAAAAAATGATAGGGCAACATTTTTTATATTTCATGGCTTCATTTATTAATTGTGTTTCTAATATTAGACCAATACATGAATTCCTTTGGACAGTTATATATAAGAAATGGGATATGGGATGAAGAGGTAATTGTTAATAACCCTGAAGGAGGTGAAGAGACACTAAATTTATACTTGTGATTTATCCTTGTAAAGGTTGGAGGTCCTTTATACAATTCTTTGCTCTTTATTATATTCTTACTTTTTCTTTTTGTTGTTTGTACATTTTGCTCCTTATTTCTGTTGTATGTGTTTAATATATATTAGCTTTTATTATAATAAAAATTATATATATAAAAATAAAGTGATGTGGTTCTTCCCACTGCTGTTGGCCAAGAGTAAGTGAGAGGAGAAAGGGATAGCAATTTTTTAAAATAATTGTCTCATGTGGTTCAGAGACTGGTTCATTTATGGTCAGCAGCAATAATCCCAAATATAGCAACTATTTCTCTGTTTACTAAGTAACTTTCATTGCTTTTTATAAATGCTTTATAGATAGCAAAGCTTAGGGCTGTGTATGTTCTGGTGTGTTTTCATTTGTTAATAGAAATAACACATAGACATATCGCTTCATAGTGAATAAGTGATTTAGAGTCAGCATACTGCCCCCAACAATCTGGGTACTCATTTTCCTTCCATCGGAAGGATAGAAGGCTGAGTCAACCTTGAGCTGGTCAGGATCAAACTCCTGGCAGTGGCAAAATTAACTAGCACTACTGCATTTTAACCAATGCGTCACCATGGAGCAAAACCTCTTTGGTTTAGTTTTTTTCTGAACATTGCTAGCAGAATGCTATATACAGTTCTGAACAGCATATTTCAGCAAAAAGAAACCTCAAGCCAATAGGTAGAAATGTTTGTATTTATTTAGCTAGTCTTGTTCATATGCTGCATTGAGATGAATAATGCTTTGTGTTTCCCTATGAATTTTTAAATGCCTTCTATTAAATTTCCAAAAAAGCACAAAACAAAACAACAACAACAACAAAAATTCCAAAGCTCTTGTCCAGATTTTCACTATATAGGGTGTCAAACAGGAGTCAGAACAGATTACCAGAGATTATACACAAAACTCAGTGATTTTGGAAACGAGGGTTCCTTGCAGACCATGCCAAATCTTCTTCAGATCATGCCATTTGAGGAGCAATTGATAGCTTCTGGAACTATATCTACTGAACTGCAACTGATTCAAAGTGTCCTCAGTATGTGTCCTTACTCTAAATAAGACGGGCCAGTTTCAGAACTTGATTATCTGTGGCACATTCTGAACCACTTCCAATTTGGAGGAGTTTTCTCTTGCAATTGCTCAACTCTGTTGAGAATACAATGTTCTATAGTTTTCTGGAATATGATGAATCATGGAATGTTACACATTTCAAATTGACATAAAAAGAGAGCAGGATACTTTTTTTGAGTTCCTATTTTTCCAACTACTCTTTGAATTCCCATTGCTCTCTATGGCAGAATATGCAAAACATTTAGTTTCATTCATATGCTTTATGCTGGAAGTGTTCTAAGTTTTGTTATGTTAGAATTTAACCAATTCAAAATATTTCAAGCATTGTGTCTTATGTTTGAAACATTGTGTCTATGTTTGTTTCTTGCATATCCTTAGTAAACAACAATTACTGTCACAATTCAATTTTCTAAAACAATTTTTATTGCAATGTGAAAGCTGTGTCAATAAAAGGAATGCCATATTTTTTCTATATGATACCTTTTCAATTTGATCCAACTGTAACAGTTCACTGGGATCACTAAGATTTGGCCGAAATGCTTCAGGCTCCAGTTCGGTTTTGACAGTTGTTTCCTGCTTTGAATATGTATCTTCTCTTGTAGTAATCTGCATGGAGGGGAGAAAGTTGAATTAGCATTCAAAATGTTATTCAAAACAATTTTTCTTATCACAATCATCCTGTAAAAATGATTTTTTTTGCTTACCTGACAACTTGTGTAACGTTTTTAATATTAGAAGCAAAGCCAGATTCCTATGTTTATCACTGAAAGAATGTGAGACTGCAAGTTCTGAGCCATTTCTGTTATTTAAACTGCATTTTTTATCCTATAAAAATTTTTAAGGTAACATTTGATCCTGATTAAAACTGAATCTCAGAGGTAATCACAATAGGATCTCAAAAATATTATACTGCAGTAGTATAATACATTTGCATTCCGGTATACAGAAGATATTCAAATATGTCCATAAGTAAGAATCAGTTGACTATTCATACAAGCAGAACCAACGTCTCTTGAAAAGAAAACCTTGCATCAAAAGAAAAAGATTTGCAGCCCGTAGGTTAAATTATTTTAAATACAAGCTACTTTTAATATTGTACATGATTATAATCTTAATCTATGCAGTCTTGCTGCACGCATATACATTCACATGAAAATGCAATATAATTACCTGAGAATAAAGATGTGTGCCCCTGCAACAATGTGTAAGTAAAATCTTATACTGGGCAGGAATTCATGTTGATAAATGGTAGAAAAGATCGAGATTCTGAGTCAATCTTTCATTATCTATTCCCCACTGAAAATTATCACTTCTCTCCTGGCTTCACTCATTCCCAATGTCAAAACTAAGTATCAAATTGGAAACAGCTGGAGATTTGGGTGGAGAAGACCATGCATGGAAGGGCTGGGACATCTGGGATAAGGATGGATCTGGCTACCCCTCCACTCAATGTTTCTCCATTTAAAACTCATTTCATTTTATTGTTTGAAAATAAATGTATTCTACTTGATGCACCTATCCTAGAGGTACTGGAAGACCTCTTAAATGTTCAGTAATATTAAGAGAACCTAAATACATCAATTTTTCCCACAAAACACATCTCTTATATCCATCTTGTGTATCAACTGAGCAAATGATCAGCAAGAACTATGAGAGAAATCACATGGAAAAATCATACTATTGCAATAGGAATATTGCAACTTTTTAGACAGTGTCTCTCAAATTTATTTCTATCTGCTGTATCTTTATAGTCCATACTATAAATGATATATACACATATATGATTTTACAATAATCTATATGGTATTTCCAGTAAACATTTTTTATGTTTAGTATGCATTCTACTGAACTGTCTTGTATTGTAAAATAAGAAAACTCCATAGCTTTATTCCATTGAAAGCTAAATGGGTTAATTCAAATGATTTAGAATAATTGCAAGATTTATCCTGGAGAAAATCTGTCTGTATACTTATCAAGACATGATCTGTCTTGAATGCACACACACTTAACCAATAGTTGCAAGGTAAGGAACGTTTATTTCAACAATCTAAATAAAATATTAACGCTATGCTTCCATAATCAGCCAACACAAGTTTCCAATAACAAGTTAGAAATTTTGTCATGCTGCAAGAATGATTATTCTACTCCAACAGGTTCTATAATTCTCTGCCTCAACAATTATTCATTATCAGTAACATTAATCACAGCTAATACAAGCAAAGGGATTATTTTAAATTAGTTTTGCTAAAATGCTTCCAGGCAGTATTTAAAAGGTATCCTACTTACAAAATGATTCACCAATTAAAAGAAGGAAGACTATGTAGTCCACTGATAATATGACCCTTTAACTGTTTTTAAGAAATACCATTTGATCTGGCTGTTTGACAATTGCTGTCTTAAAAAAAGGAACTTAGCAAGTATTTATATAACTAACATTTACTGATAAAAACATATATTTTTGAGAAATTAAATAATAATGAAAAGTTTATCCAGTTACTAAATTACTTCTGAAATGCCAATGACAGATTTCTATAAGGGCAGATATCCTATAAGGAAATTTGAAAGCCACATCAATAGCAAATAAGTCACATGCCATTTGATATTGACAGTTGTTCTCCCACCCACCCCCACCCCAATTTCTATTGACATAATACGTCAGCTTTTCTAGATGGAGTTTCATCACTTTTTAACTATATGCAGCTAAAATAAGCTTTTAAAACAGAAGACCTTGAATTCATTATCTCAAGGGTTTTTCTTTTAACCACTCATATGGTCTTAACTCATGATTTATAACAAAAACAAACATTTTGAAATATTAGCTGTTTAGCAGCAGAATGAGCAAAACTACAAAAGCATTTTCTTCCACAAATAATTAACTATAAATATTATTCAAAATGTGACAAAATATTTTAAAATGTTGATCCAATTCTGAGTTAAGAAAAACTGACAAAATAACAAATAAAAACAGAATATATACTTTTTAGTTAGGCTGAAATAAATAGCAATATCAATAGCACTTAGACTTATATACCGCTTCACTGTGCTTTACAGTCCTCTCTAAGTGGTTTATACAGTCAGCATATTGACTCCAACAATTTGGGTTTTCAGTTTACCAACCTCGGAAGGATGGAAGGCTGAGTCAACCTTGAGCCTGGTAAAAATCAAACTACTGGCAGCCATCACAAGTAGCCTGCAGTACTGCATTCTAACCACTGCACCACCATGGCTTATAGTATTGTAGAGGCTTTAAATGCTTAGCTAAACTTTCTGCATTAGATAGTTTATTACTGTATTAATTCAGTCGCAGTTCTATTTCATACAGCTTTAGAAAATGCTTCTGAAATTTTAAAGATATAAGAGTAATAGAGAGAGAGAGAGAGAGAGAGAGAGAGGGAGGGAGGGAGAGAGGGAGGGAGGGAGGGAGAGAGGGAGTGAGTGAGAGAGAGAGAGAGAATGCATTACATATTAATAGACTTATAAGGTCTCAGCTTAAAGGAGAGAAACAATATTGAAAATACACGTCCAGTTTGACAAAACAAAAAGTATCTACTATTATTTAACTCATTTCAGCTGCTCTGCAGTTAAAGGGTGGGGGTTAAGGTGTTTTAACCATTGAGCCCCCAAGACATGCTCTTTTGCATTCTCTTTTGTACAAAGAACTCCCATCCTCAGATATGAAAAGTCCTTACCATTTTAAAAAAGAAATGTGAACAAAGTTTCAAAACAACATAAAATTGCTCAGAACAGAGCTCGTATGGTTTTTTTTAGTTCATTTTCATATATTTTTATACAGCATGTGCATTGATTCAATATTTTTATCTGGTTTTTCAAAACCACTTTTTCTTTTCTTCTTTTGTCTAAACCGTAACAGCCAAAAACTAATAAAAGACAAAGAAAGGATGCAAATCCAAAGCCAGTTTTTAAGGTTTATGGAGTATGCAGCCCCTTAATTTGGTCCACAAGGTACAAATTACCTTAAGCTTAAGGCCTAGCTAACACTAATGGAAAATCTGTGGTAGCAAATATGTGATGTCATCATTATCATTTTTATTGTTATTGACAACTTGCAGCACTTTTTGAATACCACAAAATCTCTTCCTGGCCTGAAAAGTAGCAAGGAGGCAAAAAGGAATATGTAACCTCACTGGTCAGTAAAAGGACAAAAAGTATCTGCAGTGTCTGCCACGCATTGCAGGTACCCACAAGAACCATCAAGATGGGAACAATGCTGGAAAATGACCAGTGAGGTTACATACTTGCTAAGTCATGCTTTGGGGGGGTGGGGGGTGGAACTGATACAGAGGACCATAAAAGGGGCGTTGGTACTTACCTGACACACCCTTTCTCTGTGAGCTGTGAAGAGCATCCATTGTTTGGGATGATGCTTCTGTCGCTTGTTTGATAGGCTGGGCTTTAATTGAGAGGACGCTCCTCCTCCTCCACAGGACTCCTCCCTAGCATCCCCAGTTTTGGCGAAGTCGAAGTGATGAAATATTTCTTCTCCTTCACCCTTTCTAATACTTGGCCAGAATAGCATCCCACCAGACGAATAAGGGTAGGGATGGATGCTCCTCACAGCTCACAGAGAAAGAGCGTGTCAGGTAAGTACCAATGCCCCTTCTTCAGATGAGCTGTTCAGAGCATCCATTGTTTGGGACATACCAAATCTTGGTGTGTCCTACGGGAGGGCTTCCGTCTGGTTCAGATCCCCCTTTTCTTGGTCCGTATGGACCCTTTGTAACACCTTCCTGTCAAAGGCAGCCTCCGTAGATGCGAAGACATCATTCTAATAGTTTCTAAATAAAAGGGGATGGTGAGGCCCATGTTGTCGCCTTGTAAATTTTCCCTATTGGCGCTTTTGGCCCATGTTATCAACATCGCAGCGCTCCAAGTTGAATGAGCAGTGATGCCCCTGGGTACAGGAAGAGATTGTGTCTCATAGGACTTGGGAATTGTGCTCTCAGCCACTTACTGGTCATTGAGGAAGGGGTCTTGCACCCAATGGTGGGTGGTTGAAAAGAAACGAAGAGAACCTTTGTTTCCTAACACACATCGTGCAGTTGAAATATATGCAGAAAGCTCACCTTATATCTAGATTGTGGCATTGTCGTGCCAGATTTATGTTGGTTTCAGACAAATGTATGGGAGTATCAGTTCCTATAGTCTGCGGAAACCCAAAATTATCTATCTATGGGTGAAAGATGGATCTGGACTAAGGACCACTTTGTCTGTGTGAAAAATACAGAGCTCCTGTCTAACTGACAAGACTACTAGATCCAAGATGTAACTGGCCGATGTAATGGCAACCAAGAGAACCACCTTGTACGTTAGGAATGGAGACGCATGGTCTACATGGGCTCAAAGGGAGTTTTCTTGAGTGCGGTAAGGACCTTGCTGAGGTCCCATGTGTGATATCAATGCACTACAGGAGGCTGTAAGATTGTAGAAAATGGCATATGCGTGGGTGATGAGAGATGGACTGCAAGTCTCTCCTAGTGATGACCGATGCTAAGGCCTCCCCTTTGCCTATTTATATGAACAAGATAATAATGAAATGTCATATAAATAAAACTGCCATCTAACAGGTGTTCCCCTGAGATGAACAG